ATCTGGTACAGATTCAAAATTAGCATTTTATGGCACATCTAATAATGTTCAGCTTGTTTGGATAGCCTACTTCGATTTCTGACCATCCCTTGTAAGTCAATCGTTGGAAACTCTTCCTATCTCAAAAAGCAATTTTAATTTTGAAGAGATCCCGTGCTTTGCATTTCGTTTTGGGATATGATGTTCTAGTGTAAACACTACGTTTCTTGTGGCACATCATGAGCGCGTAGTAATACAAAGAATTAATAAATCTAATAAAGCTGGGAGGATTTTCAGGAGCTCTGAAAGCAAAAGAAGAAACGGCGTAATTGTTCTTGTTCTTTCAAACGATCAATAAGCCAAGAATATCAAAAAATCGATTTAAACTAGGTTTGCTTAATGCTAGTTTATACTTCTGGATAGAATCACTATTCGCGACAATGCCATAAGCTGTGCACGCTAACAAGTTTTCGCAGGTGAGTAGTAGCCTTTTCTTTACTCAAAAAATGTCAGAAAATTTTCCTTTTGGTAACTTTTCGATACTTCAATCATTTATGCTAAGCAGGTGATGTCTTTTGTTTCACATGTTCAGCGGTTCGCGAGCAAGGAACGACGCAGTCGTATCTTGTCGCATTTGAAATCTGCATCAACTTTTGCCCGTGAGCAATCGATGAAAAAGTTCAAATTACCATTGGTCGTGGTAGTATTACAATTTGTCTTTATTCATACAATGCTCATACAACAATTTCCAGTAGGCTTCCAAGATTGGATGCTTTACTTAGAAACGATGAAAGCGCCCGCGTCCATGCCCGCGTCCACGCCCTGGATGATGTCCTGGTCCTGGACGATGAGGTCCTGGACGATGAGGTCCTGGACGGTGAGGTCCTGGACGATGGTTTATCCTTCCTCCATGGCGCCTCATTGCTTGCACTGTTAAAAGGTGCGTTTATCAAGAGCACTGGCAAAGTAATGTTAGCAACTTACCAGACGTGCTGCAGATAAACATGAGAGCGAGCAGAGTTATCAAAATGAGCTTGTAAGACGCCATTGACAAGAAATCGAAGACGTTTGAATTCTGGCACACAGATTTTTCGCCGGGACTTATATATGCATCTTCTCATCTGGGAAAACTTCATATTTGCCCAATTCCAGTCAAACACGTAATGAATAAAAACAAGTGTACGAAGTCTGATTCTTTGAAAAATTCAGCAAAACGAACGAAAACAAGAAAGTTGAATGGTCGTAAATGGATGACGATTGCTATGACACTCACAACAAAACAGGAGACCATTACTTTGTAATTCACTTTGTTCCGATTACTGATGCGTCACTACATGAGCGCGTTCTGTAAACGAGCAGGAAACTTTGGTCAAAATCTTAATCCAGCTTTTTTTCTGATCTTTGCTTGAAGCAAAGATGCTGTTACATGGATGCATTGAGGCATGATCAATCCGTCGTAAAGGAGTGAGTTGCATCGCCGTTGTTGTCGTAAGCGTGGGTATATATGAGTGTTGCAGTTACAGGCTTACGGTGCATAATTGATGTTTGAGTACAATCACACCTCATTCCTTTGTGAAGCTTTGATAACTCTAGAGCTTCTGGGACCTGGAAGAATGTTCAAAATTGCATGAATATCAATATTACGACTAAACTTCTGCTTAACAGAAATGCTCACGATCAGAAAATTGGAGGAGCTGGGTGGTTCCGTACACAAGTAGACACATTACTGGATTCAGCTGCACCGCCGTCGCTGGAGTTTACCTAAACTTGAATGTGTTCTATTGAAAATCTTATAACTTGAGACAGTAGACAAGCACTGCTTCCTTGAAGGCAGTGGCTTGGGAAAATTGCAACTGCGCGCTTTCTGTTCCTCCTTGGCCTTCCGGATGCGTTCAGACCAGACCTATGCTTGAAAAGTTAAAAAAAAGTGACGTTCTTCGGCCTTGGAAATTGCTGAGGAGCTTGGAGCGGAGATTTTCGCAGCTGAGCGCGATTGGCTGCCTGGGCCGATCAGCCAATTGCCGTCAAAATGAGTGGTGTCACAGTCTCCTGAAGCCAGTCACTGTTTATGGTGGGAATCTCCGCTCTAGCCTCCTAAGCAATCTCCAAGGCTGGAAGACGCCATAAAAACCACTTTTTTGACTTTTCAGGCACAGCTGTGGTCTAAACGCATCCACGAGGCCAAAGAGGAACAGAGATCACGCAGTTGGAATTTTTCGAGCCACCGCCTTTAATGGTTAATATAGGCTCATGAGAACATACAATGTCATTCAGGAGTAGAACAAACCATCACAAAGAGAGGTTCTTATGAGAGGATGTAGTCGAAGTATCGGCGGATTGACTGCACATGTTATATGTGGAAAGGCGTTCTCAAAGCAAAAGCGGATTTGGCTTTTCGTAGACCGCTGTGCTGTCATGCCCTATTTGACTACAGCAGCTGACTTTGGCATTGCCACTAAATATCCCAAAGGCTTGTCGGCAGCGAATGGACTTCAAAACAGAAGGTTGGGCTTAAAAAGGTCCAACTCAGAAGCTTTTCTGCCCCTACACAGCTTGGTTGTTTGCAAAAATAGCTCTTTGCTATTTGCTAAAAACTTCGTTTCGTGCCCCTCAAATATCCTTGCCTCCTTATAAGCCGCATCTTATACAGCGTGTCCCAAAAAAGCGCACACGTTTTTTGATGGTTCGATGGTTGATGACTCGCTTGCTTCGATGTCTCTCGCCGATTTTTAGATACCAATCTATAGAGCGAGGTCCAACTTAGATTAACAATTTAGAGCGAAACTCCGATCTTTTTTTGCTACTGTAGGATTACGGTATGAACTTTTACGCAACTTTTTACAAATCCTGAGCCTTTTCAGAGCTGTAATAACATTTTTAAAGAACATTGCAAGAGCATTTGTTTCTGTTTTCCTGAAATCTCTCATGAAGGAAGCATGACCGTAATGTGCAAATTGCATATCTGTAATCAGCGACTCAATTAGCCTATTATGAAAATTTTTGGATTGTTTGGTTTTCTTTTCGGGGCGAAATGCGATTCTTACAGCAAAACTCTCTTCAAAGTTCCTACCGTAAGTCTACAGTAGCAAAAAGAGTTCCGCTTCAAATTGTTAGTCTAAGTTGGACCTCACTCTGCAGAGGGTACCTAAAGATAGGCTTAAGACATCGAAGCAAGCGAGTTATTAATAATGACAGTGTGCACATTTTTGGGACATCCTGTATAAGCCGCACCTGCCGCAGCAAACAATGGTCCTTTTCAAAGAGTGCTTCAAAATCTAGCAAACTGATGATTCAGTGTGGGTTTTTATGCGTTTTTCTCCCAACAACACTATATAAAATTAATGGTACTTCCTTTTGCTTTTGATGATGTTCCTAGTGGTGAAGCTGTGCCTTTCGATTCTAATGATATGCTCGTTCAACGGTACTTCCAATGTTCTGCAGATTTCTGGAGAATATTTGACAGGATAGAGATCTTCAATCTGAGTAGGTCACAACTGACAAGGGATACGTATGGACTCCAAGTGATCTTTCCAACGAAATCAATATATTAGGGTGTCTCATAATTTTTTACCATTTTTACTACAACCGCCGCATTTTTGGATCTTTCCTTCATCTGATGTGGGTTGAGTAATCCATTCGTCAGGGCAAAGCAAACTCTACAAGATGGATAAAAAGTCTGCCCAAATCGTATCCCACGTGAAGTTTTGAGCTGGAATCTAATAGTAGTCGAAAAAAACGAACTTTTCTGTCAAAAATCGTATCTGCGTTTCAAATCATCTAAAAAATTCCCCATTTCTCCTAGCATATGGTTGATACATCGCGTATTCAATTGTACGCTTCCCGAATTTTTTCCATGGCTAGAAATAAAGAAAAAAATGAGTGAGATAAAATGGCAAACTGTGTCGCTAGACTTCCTAAGCTCCTCTCACGCATTTGATCATATTGTCCATACATACAGAAGTACAGTCATGTATTTGTATACTTTGTAGGTGTCTCTCGCTTCTAGAGAAATGCTAATGTTTGAGTAAAAACGGCAAAAAAAATTATGAGACAACTTAATAGGTTTGTACGGCCTGACTCGCAATTTACAAAACAGTTCCATATCAGGCAAGCGCTCCTTTGGGTGGAAGGCAGTGTCCAAGACAAAGGCTCCCACTAAGTGAAAAAATAGTAGGCTGCGTTTTGTTTTCATCGCGCCAGCTTCTGCACGCGATGAAAAACAAACGCGACTTATAAACCGAAAAATAGGTATTAACGCTGAGCCTTAGATTATTATCGACCATCAGATATGCATACTCGGTAAGCATATTTGTATGAGGCTAGAAGACATTCAATAACGATGTGAAACTACATTACCTTGACATTGAAACAGATCAGGCCAACTTTTCATTTGTGCGCACGCTATCATATCATTTTCAATTTCATGAGCTAAACTTTTAGCTGAACAGACGCTTCTACTGTAGTTTTTTGACTAATTTCGTGCACCAAGCCATCTTTTCAAAACTTTCGAAGGTGTAAGCCCGAAGTGCGATGTTGAAGCTCTCCCTTGTTTCGATAATCGAGAGTTTGAGGTGTAATTTTTTCGTGAAGCTCCTCTGTGGGGAAGTTGACTCTTCTACCTTTCGCGCAAGACTTGAGAGTTCAAAGCACTGAATGTCGCTCTTTACATGACAAAACGACCACTCTATCACTGCATCCATATTACAGCGAGGGCTATCTCCGAACAGTGAGAATGGAAGACTCAAAAAATGCTGAGCAGTTGCGTTTCTGTTTGATGTTTCTTTGTCTGAAACAAACTCATAAATTAAGGCATCACTGATCAGAACACCACGAGTAATTTCAAACTAATGCTCATTATTTGTCGTCATCACTTGTAAATGTGTTCATCCAATTTTCTTGTTTTCTTTTTGCTAAATGTCCTTTCAAAGACACTTCAAACGCTTGTTTTTCTTTTTTTTTACTAGCCTTCAACTAGAATTTGGGCAAATACGATTCTCTCTAAATGAAAAGATGTGATATATATAAGCCCCTTGCGAAAGGAGTGTGCTAGACTTCAAGCGCTTCCGATTTCGTCTCAATGGCGTCTTACAAGCTCATTTTGATAACTCTGCTCGCTCTCATGTTTATCTGCAGCACGTCTGGTATGTTGCTAACATTACTTTGCCAGTGCTCTTGATAAACGCACCTTTCAACAGTGCAAGCAATGAGGCGCTATGGAGGAAGGATAAACCATCGTCCAGGACCTCACCGTCCAGGACCTCATCGTCCAGGACCTCATCGTCCAGGACCAGGACATCATCCAGGGCGTGGACGCGGGCATGGACGCGGGCGCTTTCATCGTTTCTAAGTCAAGCATCTAATCTTGGGAACACACCGGAATTTGTTGTATAAGCTTTATATGAATAAAGGCAAATTCCTATCAAAAAGTGCATAATTTGTAGCAATTTTACATCTGCATGTATGTACCCCTGTGTCCTAATGCAGAAAAGTCTCACTTTATTAGGTGTAAACCAGCGTAAACGTCCAGGACGCGGTCACCGTTTCTAATCAGGTGATCAAGGTACACCTACTAGCAGTTTAGTTGTACGAGCTTTCTTCAAATAAAGGCAAGTTATTACCTTGAAGAGAAAAAGCTGTTTATATAAGTAAGCTATTACATATATTTATGCATCGAGTAATCTTCACTTAACCTTTGATTCAACTGGCTTGGCGGCTGGAAGGCGGGGTTTTGTGACCTAATTAAGGGCCCTCGCGCCCGCGACGTAGTCTGAGCCTCCTCGCGCGCATGCTCTCTGATCATTACCCAGCCTTAATTAGGTCATAAATCCAGCCTTCCAGCCGCCAGCCAGTTAAATCAAAGGTTAGGTGAAGTGTATCCGCCGTATAAACATATGTAACAGGTTAATTATATAAACAGCTTTCTCTCTCTAAGTTACGCAGAGAGCTAACTTTGTTAGTAGCTAGCTTTGTTTTTGCTTTAGCTAGCTTTGTTCCGGATTCACAATGCAAACAAGCCTCTGTTCATTACTGTAAGATTAGGACATAGACACTCAAAGGTACCGTCCATCAAAATGAGGTTGACAAATTTTGATGCTCCATGTCAGGCTAGACGGAAGAAAATAGCACGGCTTGATTTTTATTACATTCCGAGTTTTGACTCAACCGATTCTAGCTACGCCTCATCGCTCCTCTCCCATTACTCTTGGCGTAGCGAATCTGAAAAGTTGGACAGGGTTTTTTTGGACGTCTTGCGCTCTATACCGTAAACTTATGACGCAAATGACATAGCATCTGGGCATCGGGCATTCGAAAGTTTCCTATTTTTTGAGTCTAAAAAGCAAAATTTGTAAAATTTCAATCTTTGGCGCAATAAAAAACAAGAGATCAGTTTCAACCAGCGGCGGACAGAGGGCGCCCCTTCCCCCCCCCCGAAAATGGGTCGAAAATGGGTCGCGAAATTTTTGAAATTCACTTACATGGGTTATATGTGCAAGTGACTTGTTTATTCTTCTAAATTAAAATAATTTTCAAAATTTTTTTAAAATACAAATTAACTTTGTAAAAAAAATTTTCCGGGGATTTTAGGGGTTATGGGCGCGCAAAAATCTTGAGAAGTACCCCAAAAGTTTTTTCGGAGTGCGCGGCTAACGCCACACACCTTCATTTGAAGAATTTTTTTTGTCCCCCCCCCCCCCGGTCCGAAATCCTGGGACCGCCACTGGTTTCAACCCAAACTTCCAAAAAATAACGAAAATCAAGGTAAAATGCAGAAGGATAATAAAGCGCAAAGAGCTCTATCAGATGGCAGAGTGCGCGCAAGTATCTCCGGTCTCATAATGTCTAACCACATCTCTTGACTTTGAAGGCAGTGTCAGTGCAAGAACTATTTTGAGACTTTTTGCTTGCCTGGGCTTATTCGCCATGCTGAGTTCGAAAATCACACTGGAGAGAGCAAAACGGTGAAAAAAAGCTCGACGCAGATGGGAACCAGCAGGTAAGTGGGTTTAGTGACTTCACCAGTTAAGTCACTCTCCCAACCAGGGCCCGGCACGCGTTGGTTTAGAGGAATTTTGAAAACGATGTCCCCTATGACTCGGCAAAATTTTACGGAGTCCCCTTTGCCGCTAAAATCGGTACGCCATTAATTGTAAGCCTTTATTCATTCTAGAAACAATACAAAAGCAAAAAAAGGCACGGTTGAGATAGTCAATGAGCAAAATAAGTGAGTTGAGAAAAATTGGAAGAGAAACTTAGGAAAATGAGGTGCGTGGGTATACGGTAGTTCACATTTCAGAAGACGAAGTGGATGTTAAGATGAAAGTTAAAGGCATACCTTCAAATCAGACTTATCAGTGTATTAGATCAGAATGAAGGAAAACTAGCATGATTCTGCAAGTAATTTTTGACCACCGAACCGTATGCTACCGTGTTTACAAAGAATCCTAATATGCAGAGTATGCCTTATCAATGAGACTAAGCTAAGAAATTTTTTTGGAATTTAGGTCAAAAGAGTTTGACATTACGACAATATTACGCTGGAAGTCGATCACGAATAACATACATACATTCTACATGAAAAGCTTCTCAGTGAATACGGTAGATACACGGTAACGGTAGCCAAGGATAGATACCTCGTACATAAAAGTAGTAACATGCCAATTACGAGATGAAATCAATTCTTTACGCAGTTTTTGGTTTAGATACGATGGACATCTCCAATCTACTGTTTGAGTCATTGGGCTAGCTGCAGTAACTCTTTGAACAACTCTTTAAAAACTCGAGAAAAGAGAATGTAGTTTCTGGGACGAAGCTCGAAAAGTGCTTCTCTTAACTAGCGCAAGAATAAGAAAGGCTTGTGCAACAACTGTGATCTTGACTCAGTGCCGTAGAACTAAAGTAACAGCGCATAAAGGTACATTGTACCAGATAGATGACATTCTATTCTATCATGACACTCTATACAAATGGATGGCATTCTATTATGATCTTTTCATCCTTTCCGCTTGACCAGAGTTTCACATGCCTAACAAAAAGTTCTTGAATAATTAAAAATGCGGCGGCAAACATTCAACGGGTAGAAATAGACTTTCTGGTAAAATGGTAAGGTAGACTTTCTGTTAAAATGAGTAATGGTGGCCTAGAATGCATCCATGTAGAACGATTACATGATGGGATCGCGCCATACTCCTCACATGAAACACATGCGCGAACTATGTAGTGTACATACTGCAGTGAGCATACCAAAGAATCGAAATGGAAGCAAGGAACAAGGCAGAAAGGAGGAAGAGGAGCAAGGAAGGGTAAAAGCAGAGAAAGTATAGAAAAGAACTTCCTAATTTTTACATATGTTGTGTTTCATTTTACAAGTAACATGAAAAAGAAAAGATCGCGCCTTCCTTCTATAGAGGTTGACCGTAGGTTTGAAGTCGAGTGGAATAAGTTTGTTTCCATAGGAGCTCAGTCCCGAAAACAATTTTTTATAAGTGTAGTCCTGAGAACTATTGCGCTTCTGAAGTCCGCTCATGAGCGTACGGCAGTGGCTGAGTCCGTTAAATTCGAGAAATTTTTCCTGAAAAGTTAAAAATCAAGCAGAAACAAACAAGGAGAAAAATGAGAAAGATGAAGGAAGAGTGAGCACATGAGAGAACCACCGCATATAAAATAACTAGCTTGCTTATCCGGCTTCGCTCGGCCCTGTCAAAACACTGTAATAATGTCCCATCCCTGTACAGCCTTTCCCTGTGCCCACTTCTGACTTTATTTCCCGTTTCCTGTGTTGTTTTCGAAAGCATCATGCCCACTTACCCCCTGCGCCAACTCCCAGCCCCGTATCTCAAACTTTGCAAAAAAATAGATAAAATCGATAAAAGTAAACGATAATCTTGAAAACTAATATTGTATTCGGAATCCCCATGCTCGATTACCCCCCCCCCCCCCCCTCCCCCTGTGCCAACTCCCAGCCCCGTAGGTGAACTCTGCAAAAAATCGATAAAAATCGATAAAATTGATATGGATCGATGACGAAAAGTAGCCTATGACACCCGCCGGGGTCGGAAGTGTATGTGTGTCAAGTTTGGTCCGGATCGGTTCAGAAATGGAATTTTCTATTCGGAACATACGTACACACATACAGACAGACATACAGACAAACAGACATTCAGCTTTATATATAAGATGCAATCGTCTCCACTTCAAAGGACGCCATCAGATCAGACATGTGACTGGAGGGGAAACGTGCAAGTGTTACCCAGGCAGCCGCCGGTGTCGCAGCCAGCCGCCAGAGCTGGCACCAACGCCGCGGCTCAGCTACAGTAAGCGCGCTCTCGTCGTCCTCAACCTCTCGCGGAGAGATTTTCGCAGCAGCCTCGCACCTCATCGCGCTGAGGTGCGAGATTTCCCTCATTAGTAAGAGATTAGTAAGACACAATACAAAACATATACAAAAACAAAAGAAGTTTTAAAAAATAAATTGATGGAATAGTTATAAAATTGAACTAAAAGCATGATATCATGGAATGAATTTTCTTCGTTTACTAGTAATTCCTCGTTTCTTTTTTTAATCCCGAAATTAATGAATTTTTATTTTTAGAGTTGCATCCTCGCAAATCACTAGGATAGAAATGTACAAGTTTCTGAATTTTGAAAAATTAAGACAATCGTAGAAATCGGACTAAAAGCTCTGACTGGGGACGGCGTCCACGTTAAATCCCATAACGATTTAAGCAGGGATAGAAAAAGGACAATTATACACCGTCCACGCAATGTGTGGCGCAAGTTTTGAAGTTCGTGAAGAATTTTCATATGAATAAAGCAAAATCGAAAAAAATTCCAGGTCTCAACTTTATTCGTCATCACACAAAAGAAAAATCGCGCAACTTACAAGCTTATTTTTGACTGCCTGAAAGGGAAATTAGAAAAAAGGAAATTTTAGAATAATTCTAGATGTATAGTTTTTATTGCTTAAAAATTTTAATGATTTAATTGGAAAATTGAAACTTTTAATTTAATTTTATAACTATTCCATCAATTTATTTTTTAAAACTTCTTTTGTTTTTGTATATGTTTTGTATTGTATCTTACTAATAAACTACAAATTTTCTGCTGTCTTGATCAATATATAATATGTGGCAGTAGCGCGACCTCTGAGGGAATTCTCGCACCTCAGCGCGATGAGGTGCGAGGCTGCTGCGAAAATCTCTCTGCGAGAGGTTGAGGACGACGAGAGCGCGCTTACGGTAGCTGAGCCGCGGCGTTGGTGCCAGCTCAGGCGGCTGGCTGCGACACCAGGCGGCTGCCTGGGTAATACTTGCTACGCACCCGTGACTGGAGCGCCATATCTATCAATGAGCTGATTTACATATTTTTGGCTCAAAAAA